TTTTAGTCTTACAGACTGGTTTTATTAAATTGTTCTGTATTTATCAGCCTGCAACACAAACTATAAAAAAACTCTTAACTATTCACCCAGGAAAACAGTGGCTAAGATTAACCAAAATATGCAGCAATATAGTAATCAATTTATTAAAACGTTTTAAAATCACGTACCTTTTATTTCCCTCATCATGTCTGTTTCCATTCTTTTTGAAAATATCCAAATATTTTTATCAAATTAAATTGAAGTCTAAAGTTTGTTGTTGTTTGATTTACTCTGATTAGCTTTCTAATTGTTTACTTGTATTTTGTTTGATGATGATTGAATTTTGAACATTCTAATAGGACAATTTACAAATGAATTTTAATTGCCTTTTTTTTTCTTCACTATTCCTAACTGCATTCCAAAAGATTGCTCATAATTTACATGATATCTGGATGGGTTGGGGGTATTATTTTCATTTAGGAATTATTAAAAATGTATGGTTCTTTCAAAAACAACTTTGACTACCTCGTAATAAATTTGGTGAAGTAAAGAGAAATTCATTACACTTGTATTATAGTCTGATACTTTGGCTACAAATCTATTTTGTGACTTTCAGTCATAGCTGAACTTTTCCATGCTTTTCTCTTTTCACTTAAGAAATCCAGTATCTTTTTCCTACATTATTTCTTTATTACATTCTAGTGTTAATATCCTATCATTTTGTTTCAATTCATTGAAAAATTTCATCTTTTCCTTTGATAGTTATATTCTTGCATTTTGAGATTAAAACAAAAATTTATATTTTTACGCCAGCATGCTTTTGATTCTTGAAACTGAAAATTGAAAATTCATTTTTAAATTATGATCTAAAATGACAAACTAGATGTTTCGATTTAAGATATAAAACGTGTATTTTACCTATAAACTTCAAAAACTTATCCCATGTTCAATTATTGACTGGTTTCATTATTTAACTACAGAGACTAAGAGTGACACACCTATTTTATGTATGATCTACAAATGAATTTCTTCAGGGAGCAGGTGCTTTCTTCCTGCACAAATTGCAGACAACACTTTGTCCAGAATTTTATAATTGCCATTTGTGTGGTTGGGGCTCACAGAACTTAACAGCACATATATGCAATGTATCCCCCTCCCCTAAAACACTCTTCTAAATCAAGTGATCAAGTTTGGGGCAATATCTGGATGTTTTCCACCAAACCCCTTAGAAGTTCAACCTAACTTGTGGAAAATCATTGTTGGTCTGTACATTCAGCAGATACATTTTAAAGAGAGAAAAGAAAAGAAGGAGAATGGAATTGTCCTTATTCCTGACTTTCCAGTTTCTCAGTCTTTTCACTCTAATGTGTCCCTTTCAAGTCCCTCCCCCAGTGCAGGGAAAGCTGGGGTGGTGGCAGTGTGTAGCAGAGCGCCAAGAATGGGGGCAGGGAAACCTCCTGAGGCGCTGCTTACTAATGTAATTCCATAAATCAGCTAATGGGAGAGAAACCAGATCTGTGTGGTCTCTAATGCTGTCCCACAGAGATCAATCATGTCACCTGAACAATGTTCACGGCCTAAGAGGCTGGGGTTGCCCTCGGGACAATTTTATCCCTAGAGCCATATCAAGTTGGGATATTTTAAAAAGTTAGATCTTAGCATCAGAAGTGGAACTGCTGTGAATAGAAAATCTGAAGGATTACCTTTTTATGAGACAAAGTGCTATTATGTAATTTATTATCATAATATATAACCACATTTCTTTAAAATATCTGAGAATTTAATATTGATCATTTAGGATACAAATTTTTAAGATAAGCTTTGTCACATATGGGGCATACAGCATTTGTAATAACTGCTTTGAATAACTAGTGATGATCTTTTGAATATAGTAATTGACAAAATGAACAGTGTTATATGCAAATATACAGTGTACAGTATCATAGAAAATTTAAATTAGTTTTATGTGCATTATCTTATGGAATATTATTAGGGGCTGATTTTAGAGACAAATTTCTAAGCCATGAAGATGTTCTTAAAATGAGACTAAGGAGAAACTGTGGAAATAAGTAAAGCAGTTTTAAAAGGAATGCTAGTGGGAAGGCTTTAAAGAAAACATGGGCAGGAATCCCAACACATCCATGTGAGTGAGTCTTAATTTCAGTTAACTCACCCTGAAAATCTGATTATGCCTCCAACCTTTGGGATGAGAATAAGTCAAAGAAAAGAAGGACACATGAGGTGTGATGTGATAAATAAGAATATAAGTAATGGTTAGGATCCAGGTATTAATCAGTGTCCATAATTTAAAGCTAACAGATAGTAGCTACTGAACTTACCCCTGAAATCCACAGGTATATCCATAATGAATCCCCAAATTACTATGCTCAGTTAGGGCATCAATCCAATCTTTAAAACATCTCCACAGATGATGATAATTTAGGAACCAAATTAGAGGGAAGCACGTCAGCAGGGGGGCTTTTCACTAACCCACAACCACTGCTCCAGCTTTGGTTCTGTCATGTAAACCCTGTCACTGGGACATGCGGCCAGCTGGTTTCCTACAACCATAACTGTGTGGTTACACATGTGCTTAAGGCAGTCATGCTGCCACTGCCTTTTAAAAATGACCTAGATAGAACTTTAGTCAATTACACACACACACACACACACACACACACACACACACACACACTTATTTTTCTTTCTTTCCATCAAAAAGCATTCCACTAATAATCTTAGCCTTCAACTACACCCCATTCTTTGGTAGGAAGGGTATGTACTTAGTTAGGAAAACATCTTGAGAGAGCTCTACAAACAAAAATTTGTATCCCTGTCATTCACACCCCATCTTCTGAAGAGCCACAGAACTTTTGCGCACCTGGATTTTAAAAAAGGAGAGAAAGCAATGCTATGGAATCATGTGATGGAAATGCCCAAGGAATGTAAACATCACAAGTTTGTGGGGAAGCTATCAAAAGGAAGATGTAACGAAATTTATGAAATTTGCTTAGAGGGACAAATCAGCAGAAAACCTATTGGTATTCCCATTAAGCTCCTTCAGAGTGGTCATTCACAAAATAAATCAGAATTATTCATTGGCCCTATCCACTACATACCCTAAATTGGGATGCACGCAGTGCCATGGGTCTAGCTAAAGATGAGGCCTACTAGCAACACCAAATCTATAATTCTTGATACTATAGTTCTAGAGGAAAAATAAAAGCCATGTGATTCTTATTAACTGGGTATTAACAGAAAATTTTCATATGGGCCTTAGAGACCTAGAGAAGTTACAGTAAATTAACCCATAAAAGAGAATTTAAAAGCTAAAAACTAATTTTTGCTACCTAAGAAAATACATGGACCTATATTTTTTAAATTACTATTATCTTTGCTTAAGCACAGTTGCCAAATGAAATGTAATACCCACCCACGCTGAGTAAAATCAAACTTTTGACAAAGAGATGAGTTATTTTATAGAGGATTAAATGCAATATTTTGACAAAACTGATCACAATCAATAATGTTACCAATACATACTGATTTGTTTTGAATCTCAAAGTGCTATATGCTTTAATTTATATTAGAACTTTTAAAAAATATCTGTATCTTATTTGTGTTCAAATCTGCAACAGGGATCTTTAACTCTTCTCTTTTATTCTTTTAAAGACCAGCCCTTCATGGTGAAAACTCATTTAAGCAGTGCTCACATTTTTTTTTAAAGAATGTGGAGGTGCCTCTCTGATAAGTTGTGGCAACCACTCTTACCCTACAATCCAGCCCTCAGAATACTCACTCCCCAAAGGCTAAATCCACCACCCATGTTCTCATGTACATATGAACATCTAACCATCTACTCTGTAAATTTTATCAGTGGGCTAAATATGATTACTTGTCCATATCTCTTTGCTAAAAATACCATCAAAACCATTTACCTGTGATTTTCCCTTTTTGTTTTGATCATATGAAATTTCCATTATGAAATTCCCACCAAACACATCAATCTTTATATTTACCATAATTAAATGCCTAATTTAACGATCACTTTAGTGAGAATCTGTACATTGTCTGTTTTAAGGACATATAGGGAAAAGAAACTATTATTGACCACCTAGGGTATCAACCAAAACTGTGCTTGGTGTATGTAACAATTTTGTAACCACAAAAATGGTTACTTTGTCAAACGCAGAGCCCAAAGCACATTGTTTTTGGCAACTGAGTTTTAGGTATCATTTGTTTCTGAAACTATGTAAAACCATGTTTAAATAAAATTACCATTACCTGCCCCAAATGAACTAATTGGATCCCTTTATTCTAACTCAGTATCTCCTTAAAAATTGCAGGTGGTAGTCAGCTTTCTATACTATCTCTGCTTTCTCAAAAAATTACCACATATGCAGAAAATAAAACGGGAAACAAAAACATTTTGTGATGGTGAGGAGAAAAAACTATTATAGAAAGGGGTAGAAAATCCCTTTTGAACCCCTGTACTCCAGCTTCAATGATTGTGTGTGTGTGTGTGTGTGTGTGTGTGTGTTTTAATGGGAACATAGCCTTGTGTGCCACAAACTGTGTACTCACTGTTATAATTGGACCACTGGTAAGTCTCTCTTAGCTAATAAAATTATATAGGATGTGATGTGTGCAATCCTTTGGGTAGAGATGCTTTTAAAAATAATAAGGGGGAGAGGGCATTTGAAACCACCAAGGGAAATTTCTGACCACACTGAATGTGAAAGTTCTGATTTTTCAAACCAATTACATTAGTTTTCCCTCAGAGATAAAAAGGAGGGGCGCCCTCCCCATCTGGAGGGCGGTTCCAGCGAAGTGCAGCTGGGGAGGGTGGTGGGGAGGCTGTGCCCTCCACACACCACCGACACCGGTATCTTACAACCCGAATGAAGCTTCAGGAAAGGGGCACTGCATCTTGAAGCCAGACCAGAAGCCCTGAAGGGAAGAGGAGAGGGGGGTGAGAAGGGAGGGGGGAGACTGGGAAACAAGAAATCATCTCCTCTGACCTCTAGCGAAGTGCCAGGTTTTTTCTTTAGCTCTTCACATTTTCTAAATTTGCAGATCTGGTGTCCCGTTTTGCGGTTCCTGCAACTGCTGCAGACGCCACAGTTGATGAGCCTCTTGCAGGGCACGCAGACCCCACACCTTTTCCTCTTCTTCTTGGCCGGGTTGGCTCCGCCAGCTCCCCCTGAGGAGGACGAGGAGGAGGAGGAATGATTCTGCGGGCAGTCTGCCAGATTGGCAATTTGAAACGCACTGTCTGTGACGGCTGCTGAGGCTGCTGCGGGGGAGTGAAGGGCTGTCATGACGATGACCCCTGGAGGTAATGAGATGCCCCCTAAAGCCGGGATAGCGGAAAAAGTCCCCACGCGCTCGGGGAGATTCATTATCTCTGCTTCAGCAGCGCCGCATTTGAGCTTGTTCATGCATTCCCCCGCCAAAGGTCTGCAGTGTTCAGGGGATAAGGTGGAGAGGAAATTAGTATTTGCCATTTGCAACGACGGCTCTGGCGGGCAGCCAGCTTTCCCCAGCCTCTGGGAGTCGTTTCGGTGGTGCATGCCGGTCCTGCCGCCGCCGCCGCCGCCGCCGCCACCGCCGCCGCCGCCAC